TCGCCAGATTGCCAGATTGGACCCGCCAGATTGGCGCCAGATTGGCTTCGACTACCCAGTCAGTAATAAGAGTTGGACCAAGCAAGGGGGAAACAATAACCGACGGTGCTGCACTGCAAGATCCTTGCAGGCATCCTGCCGCTGCATCGCCGCGGCCAGCTGTTTGATTGGGAGAAGCGCTGCCTCAGCTTGAGTTCCAGCATGCGCAGCAGAAACAGCGGTATATGATGATGATGATGATGATGATGCAACAGCAGGAGCAGCAGCAGCAGCAGCAGCAGCAACAGCTCGAGAACATGATGGTCCAAATGCGTCGGATAATGGGCGCAATTAAGAATGACACTGGTGTGATTGTTTATCAGAAAGCTCCAGATTATTTAGCGATGGGGCTTATTGCGCTTGGAGGGGAGCCAGCAGGACCACTTCATCCAGATTCGCTTGGACTTTGCCCAACACCAGGTGCGCCATCAATACCAGCCCCAAAGTACTCGGTCGCGGATCCCAGGGGCGCTGGCAAGGGCAAGTACATGGACGCAGGCTCGCCATTCCCGTCGTCTCCGACTCAGCCGATGACTGCACATTCTCAGTTAGCGCTGGCCTTCTCGGACACGCAGCAGGAGCGCGAGAAGCTCGACTGTCTCAGTTCGCAGATCTTGAAAGAGATGTGTGGCAAGAAAGAGGAGAGGAGGACGAGGTGCTCGTTTTTGCGACGCCTGCTGGGGCAATACAGCTATCGCCCGCCATCGACATTCCACTGGAAGCGGTCCCCTAGCCAACATCGCTTGCAGGCGCAGCGGCATCGCGGCGATGGATCTAATGGCCACAGCGTCCAGTGCTCCGACCAGACCGAGAGGGTAGGACACGCGCGCCCCCCAACGCGAGGGGCAACAAGTAGTCGTGCCCGGCGGGCGACGGGGGCGTCTGAATCATCCTGAGGCACCAAATGAGTCGCGCGCAATAATTATTTGCAGAAGCTGCCCGAGGGGCCCCGGTCGTTTGGCTTGCCCATGTCGGCTTGGTGGCTTCTGCGCAGAATTGCCGTGTGGGGCGGTCCTCGGGTCGGGCGTTTATCCATGGGAATGCTGGTTTTTCTTCTCGTTGTATTAGTTACGCGCGGGAAATATGCGCGGCGAGAGCTCGCGGGCCCCCTGGCCGCTGCGAGAAGGAGCGGGGCGGCGCGGAACTGAGCAGCCGTTGGAGTCGTCTCTTCTCGTGAGTTCCCCCCTTCCCCCCTCGCCTCACGCCTTCGCGCCTGTGCCCACGGTGGACGGCGGTTAGGGGGCCCGGTGAGCGTAGTCCGTCGTTAACCACACACCCGTTGCGTGTGGCATTGGGCCCCCGAGTGGGCACTTGCGCGCGCCGCGGCTCGCCGGGTGCCCATGCACCTGCCCGCCGCCGCCTGTCGCCCGCTTGCCGCGGCAGCTATGGAGTAGCATTGCCCGGTTTCAGTATACGGGGTAGCAGGGTAGCAGGGTCGGGAGTTCTTCCGTGCACATCTCTTGTGTCTCCATTAGCGCCATTTTGGCAGCTCATAGCGCTCTGCCCGCCCGCCGCCCCTGCTGCTCCTTGGGGGTAATTTCAGGCAGGATGTGGGGGATCAGCAGGGTCGGGAGTTTTTTCGTGCACACTTCTTGTGTCTCCAGCGCGCCCCGACCGCCAGCCGCCCTCGCTGCTCTCTAGGGTTGTTTGTTGACAAGAAGCAGAAGGGCAGAAGGGTTATTGTGTTGCCGTGAAGTCTCGTGCCCCCGAGTGCCGCTGCCATGCCCGCATTTCTGTTCCCCCTTGCGCGACGGGGCACCGTTCTTTGGCAGAGCCAGGACCGTCCGCGCCTGTCTGCTACCGCCGTCGCAGTGCAGCGCTGACTACGGATTCGCGCAACCCTTTAGGTGCTGCGAGCACCGCGCAGCGAGCCTGACACTATAGTAGCGGTGGGGGAGTGGACAGGGAATGGAGGAATGGACACTGCACTTGTACTGTGATTGCTCCCTTGGTTCCCGTGCAGAGCCTGTGCCTAGCTGTTGAGACCCATAGCATGATCTGCGTAACTGTAGGGGGTAGTAGGTAGGAGCAGGTAGCAGTAGCAGGGGTAGCATCAGAAGCATGTTGCATTGCACTGCAGCCCTTTCGGTCCCGAGCGCAGGTAAGGGGACCCCTCTCCTCTCCTCCTCCGCGCGCGCCGCCGCGTCGTGGCCGCGGAGCGTGGCTGCTGAGGACGGCCCACCAGGCCGCTTCCCCAGTGGGCCCTGAGCCCGCCCCCGGTGCGGGGACAGCACCACCCAGACCCAGGCCGCCTCCTGGGCCACCACCTCGGCGGACCGCCCGCCCTTCCCGCCCCCCCAGGGCCGCCCGGGGAGCACCCGGCCCGCCGGCGCGGAGCCGGCCGCCCGGAGGGCACGAGAGCCTTCCATAGCCGGTCACGCTGAGACCAGCACGGGGTCAGGGAAACCCCAACGACAGACGAGTGAGGGGCCAGGAGTCCCACGAGCTGCGGAAGAGCCGG